TGCCGTCTCCGTTATGTATCAGCAGAAAGCTCTTTCAAAACTCTACAAAATGGTTGGTAATTCATTTCTACTTGGACATGCAAACACTGGCTTTTTCGGATATTACTACTGGAGAGTGATGTTCTCGGCATCGATCGATAGGCTCAATCCATGTAAAACGTACCACCGTTTACATCGACGTTTGATGTCAATGACGAGACCTACCTCATATTATAGAGCTCAGCAAGGTGAACCGAATGGTGGAAACCGCAAGTCTCTCGCCTTATCAGAAAAGAAGTTGTTAAACTGCATTCTGTTTGTGAGATGCAGTTTTGTTATCGAATCTTATTGCCGGTAGTCAGTAACGATAACATAATGCTGATGTGCGGCGTGGCCTCTTGGAATAATCAATGAATAGTTAACAATCAAGAACGAACACCCATTTCTCTCTGCAGGGTGACTCGGTTTAACGGAAGCGTATCCTTGCAGGGTGGACTTGAAGTGTCAACCAGCGGAAGTCACACCTGACAACAGGAGATGTGCCATATGCTGTACCGTGTATCAGCGTCAACGCCATTCATCATCTACTCTCTGACACCAAACTGTGATCGATAATTGCTACTGTTTCATGATAATGAATAATCCAGGATTAGTGGACGAAGCCGATGATCGTCAGATAGTCAGCCTCGATGATGAGATAAAAGACGCGCGAGTCGGCGCCATCTTCTGGATAACAGTAGGAGGCAACCATGATACTCCGCTGAAATACGATACCGAAACTAATGCTAAACCTTTAAAACACCATATACCAGCATTTGAAGGATATACAAATCTTTCTTGAACATCACATTATTGTTTCAATTTCGTCCAAACTTCATCCGGTACTTCTGTATCATTCTCTAGTTTGTCAAATGTACATATCATGAAATGCTTCGAATGTTGATTATATAACATCATACCTTTTAATCCTAGAATTAAAATAACATTGCATCCAATTGCAATTATCAAACCCAACGAAGCAATTAGTTGCTTAAGCTTTACAGATACAGCCATTCTAAAACATTTATAACACAAAACATCAATACAGCACAAAAACTACAAAACCAAGAGATGGAAAATCATAACAGACTAACAGCACAATAACAAACCTAACGAGACCGAACAAAGAATTTCAAACCCCATAGCGTTCAAACTAATGATGTAACTATAAAAGCATTTGTTAGTAAGTTCTTTCCGTCTTTGATAGCAAAATGCTTTACAGTGTTTTCGACGTCAAAAACTTAAAAAAAGAAAGAAAAAACCGGCTTTTTTACGCAGTATAGTGCAAAAATTGCTCTTTTTTGCCTTGTTTTTCAATTTATCGAAGGTCTGTTGAACTGAAGTTGGAGTGTGTCATGTCTAACACATATACGCAGCGATATTGATTAAAGGTCTTCGATAAGTTATAAGGTATAAGAAAAACAAGGCAAAAAAGAGCAATTTTTGCACTATGCTGCGTAAAAAAGCCGATTTTTCCTCTCTTTTTTAAAGTTTTTGACGTAGAAAACTCGCTCAGAACCTCTCATGAAACCTTGAAAAGTGGTTTTCTGTCGGTTTCGCGGCGTACTCTATCAATTGGGCAGATTAAAACATTTTTCAACATCAAATTTAGTACTCAGCAGAAAAAGTATTTTCAATAGTATAATCCTCTTTAAATAAATAATGGTATATATATATATACTGGAAACTGTTAGCATTGTTATCTGGAAGGATATGCCACCATCTTTTGAATAAGGAAGGTGTCGTATTCTGACCAGCTGTGTTTTTTTTGTTTCTGAACTAACAAGTACCATGCAAAAACGTCTTTTGACCAAAGAAAGTTTGTGAAATACTCTTGTTTGGAAAGATGTGAACGCATTAAGTAGGAAAATGGCCTACATGATTTTGGGAAGATAACTACTGAACCAGGTCACGAAGAGTCTATTGTTTTACTATTAATGTTTCTGCTACTTTATAAATTGAATGTTGACTACCACATCCTAAAATTCCTAGCGGTCTATCAGCATTGATCTCGACAGCCTATTCATTCATATTTATTCATTTTTCAAAATAACAGAGTACATTCATACGATGACCAATCAACAGGACGTACTCTGAAACATATGTGGAAAAGTAAACCATTAGAGGTTAATATAACAAGTAACGCTCATCTTCAATGCAGTAACCCTTGACTGAAAGATCCTGTTGCTAACGAACCCGACATGTACGGTGCTTACAGAAAATGATTTTTATTGTCTTCGGTATGGTTGAATAAAACTACTCGAGTTATCTACTTAAAACTGATTTTGATACGTCTAGAAGTCATTGTGAAAAACTTTTGATCGTTTGAAAATAGTCTAAAATGAGGAAAATATTTGTATTACTTCTTCCGAAAGTTCACAAGTAGTTTTCTCTGGCTCCCCTCAGGAAGTTTAAAAAGCTAACTCTGGCTGGCATCTAAGAAACAAATATGCCCTCAAAATATTCCCAAAAGGAGCAAGCCAGACAAGCTAGCAGACGGCGAGATACGCGTCAACACTAAACATTCTAATCAACATCAACAAGTCACTGCCAACCGTTTCGGTAATTCTTCCTTCATTCCGAACTGCAGAAAGACTTACTCCGAAAAGAACTTCCAACAATCAATAAACAAACCGCTAACTCGAAGGCACAAGATACAGTCCGCCCCAAAACAACACTAATACCAAAAAAAACTGAAGAAAAGTATGAGTGACACAACATTAACAAAACCTCAGTACACAATAAACGAATCTGCACCGCAGCAACAGTATATGGCTTCCGACACTCTAGAAAGAACAAACACACCGGTGCTGAACATACAACTACGAAACACAACACACACCCCTACTACCAGGTGTCGCACCAAAGCAACCACCTGCACCACAACAATCCCATAAACGATACACAGTGTCAAAGAAACCCGATACACAGCAACACACATACTCACTTCTCCGTCAAACACACACTATCGCCAACTTCAACAAAACCCAAACGCTGATTGGACCAAATTACGAAAAAAACAGAAGTTCCCATGGGTAAAACATGAAAAATGAATAAAACACCACCTAACAAATGGCATAACAACGCATATCCAACATTGCAGATCGCCACGAAGTTGGCGCCAGCAGATAAAATATGTGAAATTTAATTTCTGACATTTTCGGTTCGAGAGCCAGATTTGTCAGATGCTGGCTTCATGTTGAAAAGTGTTAATTATCAAAAATTAGCGTTTTTCTCGCTAATTAACGAAACTGATGCCAGCTGATAAAATATGTGAAATTTAATCTCTGACATTTTTTATTCAGGGCTCGCAGACCTACGATGTCTTGCTGCCGAGAAAAATAGTAATTACGTGTTTTTCCACCTCGAATGTGAATATGTCGCTAATTTACGTTTAAGTGGCGTCATGTGTCACTACTCTACTATTGCGCACGGACGGACATTTCGTTTGTATGACCCAAGACTTTCAGTCAAGGGAATTAGACTATAATTGTCCATGTTGAAAGTTCTGGTAGAAATAGGCCAAAACTTCGATTTCTAATAAAGCTTCCATTTTTATATGTCTGCGTTGTTTTTCGGATTATTGCTATTGCTCGATACGCATGAGCAGGTAGTAACACGGACGCCGGAAGAACGGCTGCTGTTTGTGCCATATCATTGAAATTTTTTTTTTTTATGTTTCTATTAGGCTTATATCATTATTGTGTCTGATGGCACTATAGACCTCAATGCGACCCACAACTTGGCCGTCATCTCATTTTGTGGAGAATTGGAGGGGCCATCCATTGATGTGGTAGGAAAACGGCTGAAAGAAATTTTAAGATCAGTAGGTTTTCTAGAAAACCGAAATTTTCAGAAATTTCTGTCTCAAGACTTCGCGGTGTAGCATAACTTTTCTCCATCGAGATATATAGAACTCGACGCGCTCTTTCATTTGATAACAACTTCAAGGTTCTACGTTAGGGAATGCTGTCAGCAGACATTTTACAAGTTAGGCCAAATCCGCCGAACAACGGCGAAAATGCATTTTTCCGCTGCGAGGGTAAAATGGCTACAGCTTTCTTTCTAACAAGGCTAGAGACTTGCAGTTTTCACCATTCGGTGAAAAACCAATTCATAGCTCAAAACTGTGGAAGTGGGAAAAAACTTACATGTGTCGATTATCTTTCAGTTTTTAATACATATTATTTTTGTCTAAAGACGAAACGAAAAATAATTAAGCGTATAAAGTCTAAATTCATTAAAAAATCATATGTATTAATACGCAACCCGTGTCAAGTTATTGTTATTAGGGCTAACCAGAACTAATTAGTAATTAAAAAACGGTCACAGATATCGTTTTTAAACTTTTTTTTGTATGGAATTATATCTACAAACAATTCTCTATAAAACTGCATTAAAATCAATTGAATGCAACATGTATATCGAAAACTAGAGGTTTTAAAAGATGCCACTCAAACTAAAAATCAAACTAAAAAGACAAAATCTACCAAAGCTGACTAAATAAACTATTTATAAAACGAAAATTGATTGTCAGTAAAGTTCTGTTTTCATTTATAAAACATTTTACAGGATTTACAATTTCAGGTGCACTCTATATATCTTTTAGGTGCTTATTTCTACAAATTCGTCAATCTGTTTGCAGACGTTAAAGGTGTTTCACTCTTTTAGTCCCATTAAGGACTGTTCTAGCAAGGTTTTTTATTGCATAGGCATACCACCTAAGGTGTTCCCAAACAAAACATGTTTATAGGCACAAACAAACAGGTGTTTTTAATTTTTCTGCAGAAATATTTTCGATCAAATTGAATTATAGACTTGAAAGCTTGTCCGCAGCAAAAAACCCACTGTGCAACTGCTGCCGCAGATGATCGTCGTCGAACTGAATTATTGAGAAGTATAAAGACATCGGATGCTCTAGTCGAAGAACTTTTGATGGATCTCAGTCGATTCGGTACATGTTTAAGACTAATCCCTAGAAGATGGAATACATGAAGGTAAATACGATATCGTTCATTTCTAAGATTTATCTGTTTTGTTTTTTTGTGTCTGTAGGTAAATCACATGTCACAACAGTGCCGGTAAAACTGATTTGTGAGCAAAATACGGGGTGACGTTGTCATCCTCACTCTTATTTTGCAGCAGCCACAATTGAGTATTAAAAGATTTAACATCGTTATTCGGGTCTCAATGTACATTTGCATTGAGTAAAGATGACCAAGCACGCGTTCTCTTAGAACTATCAACGAAGCAAGCTCCAATCCTTATGCACCTTGAATATCGTGTTCGGGTTCCGGATCATGATTTTGTTATTGTGGAAAAACACGAGTTGATTCCCAGTGTTTATGCTGTGTTAGCACTTAAAAATAAGTTGCTGTCGTATTCTGGGCCAACATACATCGGTATTAGATCTAGTAAAGGTGATCATTCAACAGCGTTCACTCATTTACATGATTCATCTAAATGTTTGTCATTCAATACTTTCAAACAACATTGACACACTGCCGATCAAAAACTGGAATCGGTTGTTATCTACTGATGGTGACCTTGATGAAAATCCGAGTTTCTCTAACGCGCGAGCTTGCTGCTCTGATCTTTTTAAAGCTAATGATTTGGATACTTTGTTTCTGGCTACAAATGCACCTGGTCGTAGTACATTTAATCCCATTGAACGACGTATGGCCCCATTATCACATGGTGTGGATGTGTTTCTCTTCCACCTTCTGTTGTTTTACATAAATGATGCTTATTTTTGCCTTTAAAGCTGGTATTATTTTATCTCTTGATTTTTTATTAAATCCCAAATCCGAAGATATACCAATAATTAAAAATATGCAAGTCAAGCTAAAATGAACAATATAAAAGTTCGTTTGCATAACTTTTTTTTTGCATGTCTTAAAACTACATCCCCACGAAGCTTTTTAAATGAGTCTATTTGTTAGGGAAGTGAAAGAGAAAAGAATGAATAAATGAAATAGAGTATAGAAATTATCATCTCATACTCAACTTGTATTTATTCATCAATACTCAACTTGGTAAATCGGTTGCGATTTTAACAACTGATAATGGTCCAGACTGGTCAGGGAAAAGTCCATGTAATCTTTATAATTCTGGACAACTATGGAAAAAATTAAATTTAGATGCCTTAATATTAAATAGTTATACACCTGGTAATAGTCGTTATAATCCAGTTGAAAGATCAATGTCACCATTATCAAATTGGCTTGTAGGACTTACATTGAAAAGAGAATATAATTCAAATGCCAGCAAACCACATAATCTGGATGATGCACTTATCTGCTTAAATTCTTATTGGGACAAAAGAAAATATGCTGGTTTTCAATTAGATTGTTATCCAATACTTTCATATAATGCAACAGGTGATAATCATACAACGACCAGATTATTATTAATGAAAACTAAACCAGATAAACAGTCTAACCTTTACCATGATTATATATTTCTATTAAAACATTGTATTAAATCGCATTATTCCTATATTTTTATTAAATGTTATGATAAAAAATGTTCACATTGTTCTATTAATCCGATTCGTACTAATTTGACTATGGAATTACTTTCACTACGTAACAATGGAATGCCGGTGCCCTCACCTAGTATTATTCATCCTGATCATTTTAATACATTTTTACAAACTATTCATGCATGTATGCTTGAAAAAAAAATCCAAAGCCTGATACCTTTGTTCATGGTGAGCAGTTTGGCTCATGTATTCAATGTAATAATACTTACGTTTATGCATCGGCAGCCGATACAACAAGACATAAAATATGGTGTCATTAAAACAAATAGTAAATAATAATACTCACAACAGACAATAACATATTTTATGGTAATTCAATGTACTATTAAATTTGTTAATAAAAAACTATTTTGCTAAAAATTCGAGATTCTAGGCCTGCTTCAATTGCAGCCGGAATCCACATATATCATATCATATCGTAGAATAATAGTCTATCTTAAAGTGCGAGTCCACTACTCTACATTCTTTAAAAATTGAAGGAAGGGTGCCCTTTAAATTATGGCTATTTTGGTTAGCTAACTTGTGCGAAAATCAATAAAATTTCTAATGTATTTTTTTGCTTTTGTTGAAAAGAAAAAAATCTTCATAATGCGATAAAATAGATATGATTTGAAAATGGATATATAAATATATATATATGTGTAACTTATGTTTATAAACACGAAGAATACAGTTCAGCTTTAAATTGTGTTAGCTTTTGTAACTGTTAATTAAAAGTGAAAATTTGTTCTATTCTGTACATAGACGGACCTATCAAAAATAAGTCTACGCGTAGACGTAGACATACAGTACAGTCTACGGGTAAACGTAGATCAATATCACCCTACTTTTCCGAAACGATACTGCCTAGTTCTTGAGTTATCTGACCGTCAAAATGGTTGCATACTGTGTAACTTATGCACTCGAAGTTAGAGTAGAAAAGGCAAGTAAGTACTTTCGACTTAATGCGACATTAATTGATCAAGTTGACAGATTATGTATTAAATTCACAATGAGAGAGAAAAGTCTTCACGAAGAAAACTAAAATGAAAAATTTATTCTTTTTCATTGCGTTTATTAAAACGCAAACATTCTCATATCGTTTAGATGATTTTATTTGAAAATGGATATATAAATATATATGTGTGTAACTTATGTTTATAAACAGAAAGAATACAGTTCAGCTTTAGATTGTGTAACCGATAATAAAAGATGAAAATTTGTTCTATTCTGTCCATAGAAATGTATCCATTTTCTTTCATTCAGCAAAACGAGAGAAAGAAAAAGAAAAGAGAATGATATTAGAGCCGTATGAAATAAGGGATATCTATATCTTTTCACTTCTCGGCAAATGTGAGCAAATATCTATAATGTCATATTTAGGAAGTTGGAAAAATGAGGACATTAATAGTAACATATGTACTTTTTCATATGTGAGTTCAAACCAAGTATATTCACTAGTAAGTTAACGTTGATGTATTCGTCTCTCTTTAGAA